GGCGGGTACCGGCGGGGTTTAAAGTTTGTAGTTTTCAACGGTACCAGAACTCTTAAAATCCGTCAGTAAATGGCTGAGCTATTATTTTTAGAACATTGCAAGTGATCCGTTCCACCTTTTTCGGAAAGCAGGCTTGGTTAGAGGAGTGTTAAGGACATTTCCATCAAGCTATCATGGTGAAATTTAAATAAGAATGTACAGCAAAAAATCTTCAATAATTCTTCTCAATATGAAATAAATTATCCAAAAATCAATAGCAGTTTTCATGTCCGTTATTATCAAATGGTGATGATCGATGAATTCCTTAACGGTAAACATAAAATTGATTTAGCTATTATTTCGTCAATTCTCAACAGAGGTTGATAAAACATGTTTCAATAATCGATCCTGTTTTTCGGTACTTACCCCACGACATTGTTAAATGTTTCAAAATAGAAGCAATCTTTACACACATAAAAACTAGAAGAGATTTGTGATCAAATGAAACATGTTTTATCAAAATCTGTTGAAAATTTACGATATGGTAGCAAAATCAATTTTTTGTTTTGTTTTTCGAATACAATTATTATCATTTGCCCGAGCGGCACTAGCCCGAATAAAGAGATGAACTACCGAATGTTACACATGCCCGAATTGTTAGAAATTAGTTTGATTTTCAGCTCAGTATTCTTAACTTCGTAGGACACTCATACAAATTCTGAAATGTCTGATATTCTGATACCTCATCAAACATTCCAATACAAAAATTCAAAAAGATTTAAAAGTTCTTGCATTTTTAAATCCTAAGCCATAACTTCATTCACAACCGTAAAGAACTGCTTATGTTTTTAAGCAGGAAAAATCTACTTAAACTACTATTTTCGGGCTAGTATATAAAACCAAAAAAGGATAAAGTATTGAGGCAACGCCGAAGTGAAACGCTCTAGCAAGTGTTGCCACAATAAGCTTTGTTGATTTTTTTTTTGTTACTATATTGTCGAACCACTTATATTTCGTATGTTGCACAACTTTCTATCTGCAGCCCAATCAGGCATCTCCTGGTGATGAAGAAGTTCGTGATTCGTTTGATGGATGGCGGGTCCATAGCATCGTACCGGTAGCCGAGATCAAGTCTACCGTATTGCAGATCGAGTTTGGATTCCGGTTCAAATCTGAAAATTTCCCTATTAAAGGAACTATGCGTTATTACGACTGTCGACGGATTAAGTTTCGCTCCCGGCCACAGTGTGAACGAAAACTACTTGTTTTCATTCCAAACTCTGACGTTCCTGCTACCATCAGTATCAGAGGAAAACACACTTGCGCAACAGCCCCACCCGAGCATTTGGCCCGCACGAAGCTTAATGAGCAACAGTCAGACTTGATCGAAGGTTTATTAAAATCTGGAATACCATCCAAGGATATCAAGAAGCACGTCAGAGTGGTGAACAGTACAGTCTCCAAGAATCAGCTGAACTATGCCGTGAAATCAACAAGACAGAAGCTGTTTGGAAATGGCGTATTTTCAATTGGTGAGTCATGTTTTTCTATGCCTTTTTTATTTGATTTTTTTTTTCATTTGATTTTTGTTCCGTGAGAAATGGCAGGAAAAAATAAATATCATGCATTTATACTGACTAACTCTTAGTTGCGATGATGTCGTTCAATGATCATTAATTAAAAAAATATTGCTGCGTTTTTCTTGGGAAAACTAGATGTTTTGTATCGCTTTTGACAGCACTCGCCACCGGGGGAACTGCCTTGGACCGTATGACTTATAGACTTAAGAATGTCTTTTGTTTAACTCGTTTCTAATTAAATATATAGATAATGGTGCACTTTGTTCGATACATTAATTCTGCATAATATCTCTATTACTACAAGGAACGCAGAATAGGCATTTTCTCGTTGATAGAAGTAACTTTTGAAGAGAAAATCACTAATTTTACTTTGCAGCAAAATTGCTTTATTCATCTGTCAGATTTGATGGCGGTGGAAATTCATAATCAATTGTAAAACAGGACTATGACCAAGGTACAGAAGACTGTCTTTACGGTAGGACTATGATGTATCAGTCATGACTATACGGGTGTTAGTCGTGACTGGTACATATACTCTATATAATTGTAAAGTCACCTCAACCTTGTAATCGTTTAATGCAATATTTACCAAGTTGAACTAATTCTTCTTCTTCTTGTTCGCATTTCAAGCTTATTGCTTAGCGCATATTAGCTTATTGCGTGCTCTCAACTTAGTGTTCTAAATGCACTTCCACAGTTATTATTTCAGAGCTTTCGATGCCAATACCAATGCATGAATTTGTGTATTGTGTGGCAAGCACAATGATACTCTATGCCCAAGGAAGTCGAGAAAATTTCCAACCCGGAAGATTCCCTCGACCGGACTGGGAATCGAACCCGCCGCCTCCGGCTTGGTAATACCGTGCCTTTACTGACTAGGCTATGAGACCCCCTATATACTATATCGAGTTATTGATGTGAATTTTGGAAATTTGTATGGAAATGTGGTTGAAGTAGACTGGAAATCGACTTAGGGTGAGATCGACTAAGAAAGAGTTGACAGTATATTGTACAGCTGACTTAATATTTTACTTATGCATTTATGCATTTCCTATACAGATATTACAAATTGTCGAGGTTAACCATATCATAGCATTGCCAAATTGCAGGACGATATAAAAAAGCAGGAAAAGATTTGGAAAATCAAAACAGGAATTTAGAAAATGCTGACAAACAACAGGCATCTCAACAATAATAGATAATAGAACAATATACTACTGTTTTTTTATGGAGCTCTATAGTTGGTTATTTTTAAGTGCATCTGTTCATAAAACTGCTCGGAGCTTTTTTGAAGTAGTGATAGATTATACGCAGGCGATATCTAAATATGCTTGCTGTAAGTTCACCTGAATGATTCGTCACCCACATTTGGCACTAGCATTAGTGGACTAAAAATGCTCATATTTCGCGCTAATGGCAAAGTTCCTCCTGCCGAAGAGTGTTACCACAATGATGTGTAGTTAGCTAAGGTCAGTTATCTGGCTGGTGGGGCACGGAAGCAATAGCATTTATTAGGACAATCGCATCTGCTAATAGGATCATAATCGCTTACATCAAAACACTTCAACAGTATTGTGATAGTTTGTACTTGCCCAACAAATTGCTCGAGAAATTATCAATACACTTCATTGTATTTTTATATTTTTTTTTTTTTTGTTTAATGTTACACAATATGTCATGTTACATCTGCACTAAAAAGACCGCATGCAAACGTTTTAGAACACAATGTCTACAGATATGTTTTATAAATAAGGTAGAACACTACTTCGACATAAGCGCTCTTTTTCGTCACATCGAGCAGCAAACATCAAATATATCAATGAACAAGGGACAATCGGGAAAAAGTCGAGGTTTGATTTTCACGAGAAAAAAGTTGGGAATTTGATTAATCTACCAGGAAAATAATCTTGTTTCTATGATTTAAATGGGTTCTAAATTTCACATAACAAAACGTATGTCATTGTTTATTTTTATAATCAAGTCAAAACTAATTATTTCGTTCATAGGGGAAATGGCTCTAATGTCGGCTTAAGTGCCTCTAACTTGGGCCCATATATAAATTCACTTGTAGCCAAATTTTCATTAGCGACCAATAATATCCATCGGATATTTGGATCCACCGTAGATCTAGATAAAATTGAAAAATAGAAGATTTTTAGCAATGGGCCCAATCTTAAATCCATGGGTCAACTTTAGAGCCTTTTCTCCTACTACAACTAAAAATTTACTGCAAGATGGATAAAATAAAGCTAAAAAAGAATGCAAAGCATACCGTGATTAATTGTTAAGTCGTGTTTTTTGTATATTTATTTGTATCAGTAGTAGCTTAGTAGAGCGAATCAATCATTTGTTTCCTAGCTTTAACAGTAAGCTGATATGAATTCAAGCCAAAAACGATTTCTCGCTCAATCATTGATACAAGCAAACGTATTTCCTTGTAGAGTTCTTTTCATATCACACTCTACGAAATTTCAAAAACACATATCTCAAGATTTAATGGTTTTACAGATCTGTAAATTTCAGACATTACTTGCTCCTGCGTAGCAACAACAAGTAGTGAGTTGGACACCCCTCACCATTCCTCTCCAAAGAGGGAGATTGGTAAAGAGAGATGATAAAACCGATTTGTACCTTCCTTAAAAGTTGTCTAGCTCGCTGTCTACTCTCTATATGCAATTTTCACACTGCCGTCCTATAAACGGAACTATCAATTCTATACTTTCATCTCCTCCTCATCTATCGTATAAAAATTGCCACTTAAGTCTGTTATTTGAAATTAGCATCTTTAAACTATATTAAAATTATGGTTTGTAAAATATCGAAGTGTAATGCAAAAAGCATGGTACAACAAATCACCTTCAAATTTATTAGGTATAAAAAATTGATTATTTTCTAAAAACATGATCTTTAAAACCGGGAAATTTTCGAATGGCCAGAAAAACCGGGAATAAACCAAAAGTTTTGAAATGAAAACTCGCTTGTCACTCTGATGTATACTGCAGTACATAAAATAAATAATTTCGCACATGAAATCTTTAGTTTCTGAGATATTCATGCCATCAAAACTTTGAAGTGGTAAGGCAAAATAACCAAAATAGTTTTGTTTCTGGATTCTATCAACTTTCACCTTAAAATAACATAAAATGCTTGCCTTTCAAAATTCTCCCTTTTTAAAGTTCGGCCTTATGTTTCTCTTCCTTTTGAAGTTTGGCCTTTTGATTTTCTGCGCAAGATGCAGAATAGAAAATGGACAGTAGCGGGTTCATAAATGAATTCAAGATTGTTGTACCATTTCCTGTATTTTGTTCGCTTTATAATCAGGCCTATTCTGCGAGTCGTGTCACTAGTGTCACTAGTGATGAGACAAACGTCACGGCGTGTGAGATAACTCCGAGTAAATTAAATGAAGAGTCGCCTCACTAGTGACAGAGAGACACGACTCGCAGAATGGGTCTGTATTTTTCCTGTTTCATCCTTGAACTATTTTGTTCGATGCTAGTTTTTCTTTACTGTTCACACTATTTTTATTTTCAATTTGCCTGTCGTCTGATTCCTACAGGAGAACTGGAAGAGTGGGCAGCGTCAAAATCTGCGGTTCCGAATGACGAACGAGATGGGTTCGTGATCGGGAAAGATATTGATCACGAAAACAAATCATTCCGTGTTATTTTTTCATCCAAGCGTCTGCTATCACTCCTCGCAAAATTCAACATTGTGGCAGCCGATTGCACCTTCAAAGTCACTTTAGAAGGCTATCCTTTGCTTGTTGTCGTTGTCATAGACAATATGCGGCATGCACACCCAGTAGCATTCGGAATCATAGCTAAGCAAGAGCAAACTGATTATGAGTTTGCTTTTCGAACGATTACTGGCGCATGCTCAAGATTGGGCATTAAAGTTGTAGTAGAGACTTTCTTGAGTGATGGAGAGCTTGCAATGAAAAATGGGGCGCGTATCGTATTCGACGACCCAACAATTATAAACTGCTACTTCCACTTCATGCAAAATGTTATAAAACATTTGAAAAAGTACAATGAGATTCCGGATGAAGTACATGCTAAGATAAAACGCGACATTGGCTTGCTTCAAGTTTCCGCCACAATAAAACATTTCACCACTGGGATAAAGTTGTTTCTGCAAAAATATGAACAGTTCCCCAACTTCATCAACTTTATGAACAAATACACTTACGACAACAACTTTTGCCGGTGGTACGAAGCGGCCAAGCCAGGTGCACCAGCTACCAATAACGCTCTGGAAGCGTTAAACAAATCGTTGAAGTACAATCACATGAACCGGCAAAAGGAACCGTTCTGTTCATTCAAAGCCATTATTTTAAAGATTATTTATGAGTACGGAGATCCGCTGAGAGACATTGCCCAGGAAAGAAACTTCATCAGCATCACTAATGAGAGGAAAGCATTTGACTGGCTCAAAATGCGGAAAAAAATGAGAACCTGCCAGGCTCCGATGGAAGGAAAACAATATGTTTATCTACCAGGAAGGCAAAAAGCAGAAGTTTCCTTACATGACATCCAATCGTTCGAAAATCCAGAATACCGCACTTTCGATCAGTTTGTGGAAGATTTCGGGAGTTTACATAGAGTCGACGTAAGCAGCTATGAGTGGAACTCATGGAACTGTACTTGCTATCATTTTCTAAAGAAAAACTTTTGTTGCCATGTCCTGGCAGTCGCTGTGAATCGCGGAAAACACGTCCTGGGTGCAGAGTCGAACACTACTGCTATGGGTCGAAAGAAACCGGTAGGACGTCCGAAGATAGTCTCCAAGGCACTGATTGTTGACTGACAGCTCACTCCATTTGCTCCGAAGGACTATTTCTTCCAATTCTACTGGAACGCCCGGACACAACTTTACAGCAACTCGTAAATGATAGAATACCCAAGTAACCACCAAGCCCGCTAACTATCCGATAATCACCCTTTTTGCAATATAAGGTAAATATAGGGTTTCCGAACTTTATAGCAGTCGTATAGCAAAAAGGGCGATTAACGGGCTTGTTGGTTACTTGGGTATGTTTCAATAAAGATCTCTGAAAGGCCGAGCGTTGGTGCACTTCTAATAAGAGCATTTTTTTGTTTGCACTAGCACTTGGACATTCAGAAGTCTTTATTTCTCTGTATGTTTTTACTAATTTAACTTTTGTTACAGCTACCTACTTTCGCCACCATCTGAGGGACAAGCGGTGGACCGGAAGTATGCTACAAGACTGCTCGTCATTGTTGTTGTTTTTTTTTTAAATCATTTCAAATCAAATTTTTGAAAATATTAACTTTGCGTCGCCAAAATTTACACTAATAATATTGTTTTAATTATATCCAAAGTAGGACTTGATGTGAGGGAATAAAAAAAATGTTTTTAATAAAGTAAACCTATACTTGTTGTTACAGTAATTGTTTAAGCATTTGGGAGAGACTTTTGAAGGCAAGAAACTAAGAAAAACTAAAGTCACTAAACTAAAGATGGATTCGTGATAAGACCGTACATACTTTTGTAAACCAACAGATCAATCGTCGATTTCTCGTGAATTGAAGCTTAAACTCAAAACCAAATTGTAGATGAATCATTCCTCTGTCTGTCGAAGAGTATTAATTCACAAGAAATCCGCAATTGACGTGTTTGTTTAAAATGTACGCCCTAATTAAGAATTAAGCCGTTTCAATACCAAACGATCCATCATTTTTTCTCAAATTCCACCCACTTTTTGTGTTCGTGTTTAGCTCCACTCGAGTATTTTGTTAGGGTTGATCAGTCACAGATGATATACTTTTATTTTGTGGATTACGACTGAGAATATTGTCTCCGTCACCCACTAAGTACGTGGTAAGTATTGAACTGCCTATTAAATTCCCGAAGAATGCGTTGAAAAATTGCGTAAATGTACCAGTTCCGGCACTTTTCATAGTAACATATTCCAGATATGTTGAATTATTCGAATAGAGGGGCCAAAACTGGGGTGGTAGGTGCTGATTCCGTTGATAGATAATAAGATGCAAACAATCCATACATATTACATACATATTAAACTGTAATGAAATGTATGGATTAATGAACCGTCAGGTATTCGGTGCAGTACGGTATATGAAATCGGTATACAGCAAGGAGAGTTCTGTTGAATAATTTTCTTATGGGGCAATTCCTAATTTTTAAGTATACTATGAAAAGGTAATTATGGAACAAGATACATTCTCTATGGTACAATGCATTATTAAATTATAAGGTGACCAGACATATACAGGCATAGCTTCATAATTCTACTGCTACTTCTTGTTGCGTTTTCCCTGAAATCCTGCTCCATAAATCATGGAAAAGGCCTCTTAATAAAGCAATAATGTTCCATTATGGGCTTCTACTGACGAGGGGTCTTTAAATGTCGAAAAATAACATATATGTATTGTTATGGATCAACTTAGCAATAATTATGGAGCGATTTCCACTAAATGTGTTGCTAATTGCTTATTCATTATGGAGCATTTTGTAAGGATAAGCTTCATTACTTTCACTTTTTAAGTATACAAATTCATTCCATGCAAATCCTTTCAGTGCTGCCAGTTGATGATACATCTGCCAAATGTAAACTTTGCCTTCTTTATGGTTCAGGATTTGATTAAGTTTATGGAGCATTTTCGTTTCTTTATGGCGAGATCTGATTAATGTATGGAAACTGCTAGATTTCTTCAATGTTAACATCATACACTTTATGGTGCAATTTTAGTTTTAAAATAAACAACATCGATATAATTGTGGATCGCCAGTTTACAAAATATGGAAACGGTTTCTACAATTTATGGAACATGCTTATATTTTTATGGTGTTTGATGGGATTATTTACTTGTACAATGTTTCACTTGAAGTCATAAAACTTCTTGTTCTACCGGTTCAATTTGAACTACCCATGGAGCATTTTCGATTACTTGTGGAGAATGTTGTAAATTTTAATGGTGAATGACTTCGTTCCTTATGGAGCACTTTTATTTTTTTATGGTACATTTTCTGTATTCTATAGGTGCATTAAATGGGCTGCCATTTTTAATCTGTGCCTCCGACTTTGCTACTTCCCCTCGTGCTGGAAGTCATACCCATCCGGAAACCTGGGAAGGATCCGTCATCTCCTTCAAGTTATTGACCAATCAGCCTTCTATCAGGGTTATCTAAACTGTTCGAAAGAGCAGTCTACCACCGGCTCCTAACATCTGCCGAAGAAAACAACTTGTTACTTGAGGAACAGTTTGGTTTTCGGAAAGGTCGTTCGACCGTCCACCAGCTGACTCGAGTAACAAACATTCTTAGACGGAACAAGTCTGTTTTGAAAACATCTGCCATGACGTTTTTTGACGTTGAAAAAGCGTTAGACAATGTCTGGCATGATGGCCTGGTGTTCAAATTGCAGCACTACGGTCTTCCAATCTTCCTAGTGAAGATAATTAACAACTATCTATCGAACAGGACGTTCCGAGTCTCTCTGAATGGCATCACATCGGATGCTTTCAACATCGGTGCTGAGGTTCCACAATGAAGTATCCTTGGCCCCATTTTATTCAACCTGTTCACCTCCGATATGCTGGCTCTCCCTGATGGTGGATCGTTGTCTCTGTTCGCAGATGACACATGCATCGTCTACAAGAGTAGGGTCATCGGACTGCCAAACTTCACAGAGGCCTGGACGTCCTGTCTGAATATTTCAACAGCTGAAAGATCCGTATCAACGTGGCAAAGACCCAGGTCATCATCTTTCCACACTCTAAATCTCCCAGACTTGTTCCGTCGGTGAATAATAAGATCTGCCTGAACGGCACAGTGGTGAAATGGTTGAAAGAGGTAGTCTACCTCGGCTTAACACTAGACAGCAACCTGATTTTCACTGTATCCACTCATCAACAGGAGGTCTACTCTATCCCTGAAAAATAAGCTTGCTGTCTACAAACAAACAATCCTTCCCGTAATAGAATACGGGATGCCAATCTGGGAGAGTTGCGCCAAATGCCATCACCTTAAACTCCAAAGGATCCAGAACAAGATCCTTAGGATGGTCATAAACAGTCCCCCGCGGACTAGAAATTCTGATATCCACCTCCTGGCTGGAGTTCAGACATTAGAAGAACGGAGAGTATTCATCCTGGAAAGGTTCAGAGACACCTGTCTGAGGTCAAATCATCAGATCATACGTGAGCTAGCACGTTAGGTTAAGCTACACTCGTAGTTAGGTAGGTTATCACTTTTTTTCAAATCAAACAAAATACACCCCCAAAGGGGTATTCTGTAAACTAGTTGAAAAACGCAAATATTAAATTAGAATATCAAATTATACAAAGATGAAGAGCCAGGTAGGCTAATCAATTAAAATAAATAAAAATAAACATGATTACTACTAGAATTTACCGCCGATTTCTATGAATAGGGTGTGGCAGAAAGTATCTTTTGTGCAGAATATGTAAAAAAAAGGGGGACTTCGGATTTTGATCAAAATGCATACGATATAATTAATTGATTCCCGACATTCTATCCGCCAGGCTATAAATATAGCGACTATACTAAGAATCGATGTTGGCCATTTTTGTGTGAGTGTGATTTTCACAATAGGCATCGTAAAATTGATCGGCATTGTATTTCGAAGGGCTGAATATGTTGTTACTCCAGGGAAACATAGGCTATCCGGTGATTACGGAACAGGATCCGGTGGCTCCAGAACAGGTTCCGGAGGGGTGGTGGCTTAAGCCACCGTAAATGTGGCCAATTTATAATTTTCAAAGAACCAATTCTTACGACTCCTCAAAATTCGCTAAATATCATGGAAAATGCATCAGAGACTAAGTGTACTGCCTAATTCAACATTGGCCACCTGGTGGTCTCGGAACAGGTTCCAAAGGCACCGTATATGTTGCCATTATATAGTTCTTACAGAACCAATTCATGCGACAGCTCAAAATTCGCAGAATTTCATGTGGACATTGGCCATCTGGTGGTCTCGGAACAGGTTTCGTAGGAGCAAGTCGTGCGCCATCTCCTAATTCGCAAAATTACATGTGAAATTCATCAGAGGCTATTTCAACTGTCTACCAAATTGTAAACTTTAAAATTAGTATTAACACTCCAAACACCAGGTTCGCAAATTCCTCGGTCTATAATATTCAACCCGTTGGATCTCGGTGGTTTCACAACCAATTTCCAAACATTTAGCCTTTCAATCGGATTCAGGGAACGCAATACACTGGGAAGCCATTTAAGGGGTTGATCAATTTCACCCCATATCGATATTTTCAAATTTAAGGTTTCAAAAATTTCCCAACACCTAACTAAATATCCAATATTATAAGAAATCATGCAAGAATATGGAGCCCTCATAGCTACTGATTTAAATACTAACAGTTTTTCAATATAGATTATCCTAGAAATTTATTTGGATATTTACGTTAAATAGTGATCAATTTGCCTCGGATTACGGTATTCCAATCTGGGAAAGCTGGGAAAGCCATAAGCTTCAATGGATCCTGAGCATGATCCTGAGAATGATCCTAAACATTCAAACGTGGACTTGAAATGCTGTGGTTCACTGACTAGCTGGCCCTCAGGAGGAGAGGATTGATTGATTGATTTATCTTAGGAGGCTTTCAGCCTGAGGCTGGTTCGTCTCCAAATGGAGGAGAGGAGAACAAACTTTCTGGAAAGGTTCACAAACACATTTTTGAGGAGTCGGAGCATAACTGAAAATGGAACTCTTAAATCTGAATTGTGGAAACCTGTGGAAGAGATTAGTTTTAAAATCAGTAATCCCACTGTCAATGAAATCC